TCTACTCCCAATCCTGATGAGCCTCGCTTTTCGAAAGTTGAAGAAACGTCCAGTGACCTCTTACATTTAACATTGTAACACGCAAATTGCTCTTATTACATAGAAGATAACAATGTAGCCATAGTTCGGCCCAGAATTGAGAGCTCCTCTCTTCAATAACATGCGAATCTTGTGAAATTTATGTACCCCTACTAGCTCAGTGGTGAAGTTCAAGCACTTGTTTTCCAAGGGGGGAACTTCCCGAACATCCCGATATGTAAGAGGTACCGATAATAATGAATAAGTTGCTCTATAAAATGCTCTGAAAAATTCAATTAAAGAAATTTCAAAATGCTTTCAAGGACTATACTTATCGGTTAGAGACGCGATCCAGGATCGTCTCTCGATCGATATTCGCCCAAATTAACCAGGCCTCCCATCCCTCCGCGGTCGCTCAATTGCCACCAGACTTTTTTGGGAGGGTATATGCACTGAGTTGTACATCGGCTAATCATCACAATTCTTTGTACAGGCCAGATTCTCATCCAGAACGCTACTATGTTTAAAACTTGAACACGGGGGCGATTCCATTACCGGTATTGATTTAGGCCAAACACTTTATCTTTCTTGTTGAAGACTCATTGGTAAAGGTATGTACCTGAAGCATAAGAATCCCTCGAGGTTCACTTGCCAGCGTTCCATCAGCTAATCATTTCAGAGTTGACTATTTGTCGTATTTTTCCGAGCCTAGCTATTAACAGGGAAGGAAATTTGTCGTACTTCTACTGGTGCCAATTTTTAGAACAGGAAAAAGCATTCAGATCGCCCCTTCCTTTTCTTCCGCTGAACAATAGCAATTATTGTGCGCATTTCGAAGTTCTAGAGTACCGTATTTTGGAACTTTTTCATTAAGAAGAATCCTGGACACGTTTCCTAACGAATGTTATTTTTCGTCGTCGCCCTAACATGGCTGGCATTATGCGACGGCGACTATGCACCGGAATATTCGTCAGTAGCCGGTACTTCTGGGGAATTTTTCAAGATATTGGTGAAGAGAGCCGCAGACAATAACCTCTGCCAGGTAAGATGCTTGTGAGCTCCTTCTGGAAATTACTGGAAAGTACTTTGATGCCCACCTTTAACATTGGTTGCTGTACATTTAATTTTTTGCAGTTGCCACCAGACACTGGCAGTTGTAGTCGACAACTGATCAGATACTACTACGACCCAAAGGATGACGAGTGCAAACGATTCAACTACTCGTAAGCATTTTCGCGAGTTCTGTAGTCTTGAATATAAATATTCAACTCCTTTAAAGGACAAGGAATGGTTGTAGTGCCAAGTAGCGCTCTAAAGTTTCTCTCACAGTCTTAGGATTCAACTCTGGATTGGTAATTTTCCAAATTGAGCAGGCTTTCTGTCTCTTTGGGATCGGATTATTGGTACCAGACGTCTGGGAGGATATAAGTACTGATTGAACTTCGGATGGCCACTATAATTC